TTTATACTTCATCTTCAACCTCCAGCCAGAGCAACTGTAACTTGTTCAAATCTCAACAAAAATGAAAACTGTAAACATGAAACTTGTAGCAAATTTCCTCACAGTTTCAGAAATGTAAAGCATTAAAATGATAGCTCAAAGATAAACATGAAATTTAATGGCCCTAATCTGAACCCTAAAAATCTCAGAAAGTTCAATCTTAAAATTCTCTAAGCTCATGCAAAATTAATGGAAACTTTGGACATGGTTAGCTTTAGGGCAATGGTATCTACATGTTTCATTCACAAATAAATCATTGATGATGCCTGTATGAAAAGTTCCAAAGTTAGAAAACTTACCTTGCAAGAGGGTGTCGGGTTTGAAGTTTGAGCAGCTTTCAATGAGTTCCAATGATTTGGTTAGCTTCCTCAAGTTCTCAGGAAGCTAATGGGATGCTTAGCTTGAGCTGAAAGTACTTGAGGAGTTCTAGAGAAGTCCAAGTGCAAAGCTATGTTTTTGAAAATAGAGGATGGTGTTAATGGTGTTACAACTCTGTAACAGGGTGTGGGATCAGTTCTAAGTGATGTTTAGAAGCTTTAGGAACCAAAAGGATTGAAAACACACGAGGGAGTTATGAGTTTCATGTTTTTGGTCAATTTATGTGAAAATGGAGGTATGAGATGTGATTCTGAAATCTTGGTATTTTCATGGCTTAATCCTTTATGTTCTTTGTGGAAAATGGTTTGTATATCTATAAGAAAAAGGATTGGAGTGGTTTGGACAATCAGAAGTACAAGCTTTCAGCTAATTGCTAGGTTGCTTGATTTTGAAGAAAAGTGGTAAACCAAGTTTCAAGGTGAGGTACAAGCATGGGCTGAGTGATTGTAAGTGTATAACAAGTTTCTTATGGGTTATGGGACTTGTATGATCATAAGAGAACAAGTGCAAGGCTCGAGAATAAGTTTTGTGTAAAAAGCACTTTATCAAAATGGCAATGTGCACTTTCTTCCCAAAATGGACATAGAGCATGGTCTTGCGTTGAATGCTTGAAATGAGACCTCTAACAACTGTGCTAGCTATTAATTATGGAGTTCATAACAAGTTTGAGGCCTTCAATGTAGAGTTTATGCAGCACAACTTTGAATTTGAATTTTGTTCATCACAAAATGCCTTGTAATTCAAGTGATAAAACACTAGCTTCATCTCTTCGATTATCCCTACTCAAAAATGATCTCAAAGAGTTCTTAGACATTTTTGAAAGCTTGCAATGTGCTCTACAACCCATATTTGAATTTCTTTTGAAGATTCCCATTGGAACTATATGAAAAAGTGCCATAAAGTTGGGTCAAAATCCTGACCAAATTAGGGCAAAATTTCACTAAGTGTTTTGTTTCATGACCACATGTTCTTAAAATTATAACTTGAGATACAAGCACTTTTGGAATAAGTTGTGTTAAGAAAAGTGGTAGATTTCATGGATACCTACAAATTTCATGTTGGAAGTTTCTTTTGAATCAGCTTGCGTCATGGTGAAAATTTTGCTCAAGGTTATGAAAAAAAAAAAGAAATTTCCAATACTTAGAAAAATTTCTAAGTTTAGAAATTTTAACTTTTCAAAATGAAATCTTGAATTTTGGATTTCTTGATGAATAAGTTTCATATTTTGACATGTTTTGATGAATCTTGATCTTTGGCCTTTGAATTTGACCAAAAAGTCAAAGTTTGACTTTTTAGTATGTAGTTGACTTTTGATCAGTTGACTGCAAAATTCATCTGTCAACCTATTGGACTTGTAATGTTTTGAGCCATGTCATTAGGTCAAAATTGTGAAATTTGACTCTTGAGATCATGCCTTAAACCAATTGATCATTTTCTAGGTCAAAAATCAGAAATTACCCTTTCCCAGTCAAAACCCTAATTTTGACCATTTTGCCCTTTTGGAGATTTGATCAAATTTATTGAGGAATTATGGTCCAATCTTGATCAAAAAATACATATGAGTTTAAATTGTTGATGTGGATCAAAAATTATGAAGTTTGATTATAAATTGGCCATAGTTGACTTTTTCCCCAATACAACTGATTTTTAGGTCAACTGCTCAATTGACTGAGCAAAAGTGTGATCCAAGACTTTAAACTTTACATGAGTGATCTTGGGGGTCCATAATAATCCATTAAAGTCATATGAAGCATTTAAAGTTAAAATATCCTTATGCAATCTCAAATCCTAATTTTAGTCATCAGTGCTTAAAGAGGTGTCTTGAGTTGATCCACCCTAGTGCAATCTTGAGCCAAAGGAGATCTTGTGAGCAAATTCTTGATAAGTGAGAGGGGAAATTTTGGGGTACAACACATAACAAGCAACAAATAATTATGTCTTAAGCACAACAAACTTTTTGTCTCATACCTCTCTATAATGTCTTGATGTTTAACAATTCAATCCACAAACCCTTGATTTGATGACCAATGATCAATCACAAAAGGAATGCTTTAAGGAATCCCTTGGGGTGAGGATAAGACTTGAAGCATAGAAAGAGATAGACTTAGCATGAATCCCTAACCATAATCTTCTATTAAATATATACAAGCTCAAGCACAAAATAGGAGAAACCCTAAAATCATGATGAACTTGCAATAAAGAATAATGCTCAATGTATCCTTGAGGAGAAAACCTAGCACAATGAACTTCTGTTGAAGAATTATTACCAAGCTCAAAAAATATGAGTATGGAACCATAATTATCTTGCTCTTGAGTGCACATTGATGAAGATATAGCTAGACATGGTGAGAAGAATCAACACCCTAGCTCATAGCATCCTCAGTTGAAAACATGATGAAATTAAGCACACACAAGTAAAACCCTAATGCACTTGATTATGATAAAACTTTGATGAAGATGACCTTGTAGCTTGATAATTATTGACAAGGAGGATTTTCATGATGCTTGTGAATCCAACCCTTAGTTCCATACCATGAGGGATTTGAGAACCAGTTGAATCCAAACCCCTAGTTCCATGCCTTAGGAGCTCAAATGAACGATTTTCAATGCAATGCAAATGATGCAAATGAGATGGGATCTTAGAGGTTAAAATTATGGTATGACACAATGGGATTATCCAAGCCAAAAATAAGGGGATACCATTTCTAGCAGAAAATATTTGACATCTCAAAGCAAGTTCAACCATTTTCCCATATTACCAATTTTGATATAATGAATGAAGAACAAAAAACAACATATTGAGGTTATTCATACCTCTTCATCCACAATCAATTTTGGTGTAGAGTTAGATGGTGACATAGAAATATCCTCACCAAATAAATATGCGCGATGAGAAACGCTAAGTCGAAAAAGAATTCACAAATTTGAAGGTATTACACTACAAAAAACTCCTTCCTTCCACGTGATTTAGTGACGTGATAAATATGTGACAAAAAAGGGGAATTGCGACGTGTTTATCACGTCGCTAAATGTTTTTAATATTAAAAAAATAGCACTCGCTTTATCACATGGGGAGTCAGAGATTTTTTTTATAAAAAAAGTTGTGTCGTGGAAAACACGTCGCAACATAAAAATTAAAATAAAAAATAAAAGTGTCAGTGTTGTACAGGGAGAAGTTTGAATTTTTCAAAATTTGAGTTGTTACGTGAAAATTACGTAGCAACGTTCATTTCAAAATTCAAAAACTTTAAATGGGAAAGTTGAGTGATAAGGAAGTGACGAGGAACATGTTGATCGACACCTTTAAATAGTTTCATGATAATCACGTCACAATATTATGACCGTTGGAAAGTTGCAACTTGATTTCCATTTCACTAACTTACGACGTAAAAATCACGTCATTACGGTCTCTATAAATCCCCAAAATTCATTCATTTCCCATAAACCCTTTTTCTTCTTCACATCTTCAACTCTTCTCTCTTCTTCACACCACCAGAATTCTTCACCTCTCCTCTACCTTCAACTTATTCCATTTAACTCAAAGGTATAAAACTCATTCCATCTCACTTCTTGCTTGTTATTATTATTTTTTTTTAAGTTAATACTAATTTCTGATTTTTTTATGTTAATTTTATATTTTGAGGTAAATTTTGTTTCAAGTTTCAAGATCTCATAAGTATTTTGTTAAACCTTTTTTGTAAATTATATTTAGTAATATTATATTTATAGTTTTTTTATTATTTATGGTTTTTATTTATAAATTTATTAATTATATTTTATTTATTAATATGTAGTATATTTTATTTATTAATTTAGTAATAATTTTTTTTATTAATATTTATTAATTTAGTATATTTATAAAAATAAATGGAAAATTTATTAATAAAATTTGTTATATTAATTAATGGAAAATTTATTATAATAATTATAAAATTTATTATATTATTATGTAGTATATTTTATTTATTAATTTAGTAATAAATTAATAAATGGAAAATTTATTATATTACTAAACATTTTTTATTAATATTTATTAATTTAGTATATTTATAAAAAATAAAATGAAAACGACATTTAGTTTAAGATCTTATTTTAGAAGAAAAAAAGTTGTTTTGTATTCACATCACAAGTTTGGCACGTAAACATCACGTTGTAACTTCTTTTAAATTTAGTGACGTGATTTTTACATCACAATTTAGTGACGTGAAAATCACGTTGCAACTCACTGAAAACTGTTTTGTCTTCCTTACTCCTACTGAACCCTGCTCTGCTCTGATTGATTTATGTGCAAGCTGTTGCAACGTGAATTTCACATCACTAAATTCTAAAGTGAAAATCACACCGTAACTTAGTTGCCACGCACCCTCCAGCCGCGTCATCATTCATGTCGGTAATAACATGTTGCAATGTGATTCTTCACGCAGTGACGTGAAAATCACGTCACTGCAGAGTGTTTTTTTGTAGTGTTAGTTTCACTTAAATCTAAAACATGTGACTGTGAGTATAACGATCAAATATAAAGCCTTGAACACATCACACACCTTTTGTAAATCAACCAGAAGCTTATAACTTGCCACAATAAACTATAAAGATTTCCCAGTTGTTAGCACTTCGAAGACTACCTCAAATATTTTTCTACAAATTTTAAAAACGATTACAAATTCATAACTCAAAACACTAAAATAAAGAAAAAATTCAAATTTTCTACCAAAACAAATTTCCTATAGAAGAGAAAAAGCCTTTAGATAAACTTACGAAGTTGGTGGTTTCCCATATTCAACCCCTGTTGAAGAAGCATAAACATCATCCAAAAAAGCAATCCCTGCATAAATGAATCCATAAATTAACAAAATATTTTTTTAATTCCCTTCAAGTTTGCATTTTTTTCGATTACCCACAAGTCAAAATAGACTAAACACATTGATTTTGTTAGTGGGCATCAACGCAGTAAAGAACTGAGCAAACATAGGCAGCTGCTCAAAAAAGGAAAAAGAGGAATGAGATGCTTACGTTCATGGAGAGAGAGTCTTGATTAGTATCTTTGGTATTGGAGGCATCAAACATGGTGAAAAACATGTTATCTTCGACCCATGTTGTTTCATTGTTTTTTCTAGGGTTTGTCATTTTGACTCTCAGTTGTTGTGTTTTTCACGAAAGAGGTTTCAGAGAAGTAGGGAAAAGATAACGAACAAAGAGAGACTAAGAATTGAGTGCAAGAAGAGCAAGGTCGTGAACATGGGGAAGTTTGGTAATAGAGAGAGGCGTAGAGAGGGAGACAACATAAACTAAGTTTTCTTTTACCAAAGGAGGGGTTTCGTAAGGGAAGAAAATAGAGAAGTGGAATCTGACATAGTTATTTTCCCTTTTTATTTTATATATATAATTAAAAAACTGAAGAATAAGTGGAATAAAATAGAGGGCTGGTGAAAAAAATGGAGATTAATTTTTCATTATTAAACGAATTTGAGGGGATTTGAGAAAAACTCCCCAAAACAACCCTTATAATTAGGCGTATTTTTTGTAGTGATGAGGGATAGGGAGACATTCAAGCAAAGTGAAAAATCTAATGAAAGTTTTTCTTCCTTGAATGCGCATCGGGAACAGATATGGCAAGAGGTCATGCACATGCACATTATCCTCTAACAAACGGTCCCCGAGACAGAAGTTATGGGGCTTGATCCTTACAACTGGTGCAAATTCCATAAGTTGAAAGGATATCATATAGAAGATAATTATTAACTAAAAAGGAAGATAGACTGCCTCATTCAAGAAGGAAATTTAAAGAAGTATATTAAGAGAAACTACATCGGAGGATCAAACTCCATTCCCCCGGTCCAAACTCGTCGGTCAGTTTGAGATCCAAGAAGGATAAGGAGCCAGCTAAAGTTGATGAAGATTAATCTATTCGCCATATGCTTAATTTAATTGCACTAGGATTTATTGATGGAAATATCCATTGTCTCTCCTAGAAAGAACAAGTCCACCAAGTCTTTATCGTTGATAGCTACCTATTGAACTTAAGAATAGCAAGTCAGATTCTTCAAAGGCAAGGATAACCTTTTCAAATAAGGATGCCGCTTAGATTCACCCTTTCTATGATGACCATATGGTTACCTTTGTTCGTTGAAATGATTGGGAAATCAAAAGGGTTTTGATTGACTAGAGAAGTTCCACAAACATCTTCTACTGAGACGCCTTTGGGAGGCTTCATTTAAACATGGAAGACCTAAGACCTTTCCAATGATCTCTGGTAGGATTTTTTAGCGAACCGATAAAGGTTAGAGGCTACAAAATATAGAAGACTACCTTTAGAGTAGAAGGGAGAACTAGAAGGATCAAGGTAAGGTATCTAGTTATTGATACACCCTTATCAAATAATATGATCATAAGGCAACTCACTTTTAACTAATTGAGGGCCTCCCTATCCACCTTGTTTATATTAATGAAGTACCTGCATCTCAATGGGAGAGTAGGCATTATCCAGAGAAATGAATAGGTCATAAAAAGATGTTACGTGTAAAGTTTAATGTTAAACATGATCATAATAGTATAAGTAAGCACCGTGAGCATAAAACGGGGAGTTATTCACCAATTCGAAGGAAGATATAGTTCCCCTTTGTTTTATTTGGTCCAATGATTATTTATTTAGGAGATTTATAACCTTGGTTAGGTTTTGTAAGGATATTAATGTTTCTTTTTACGGGGGCACTCATTTTCAGCATTGTTGAACTAGCGCCTAGATTTTAATGTGGCCATCCATATAGAAGAAAAGGAGCAAGGCCAAGGCCTATTCTTAAGGCTATTAAACACGTTGATTCCTTACGCAATATTCCTTTCTACCTCTTAAGGCGATTAAAGATGTTGGATTTCTACACGAGAGTCCTTTCCTCCACTTAAGGCTACTAAACATGAAGGGTCCCTACACGAGAGTCCTTACAAACTCTTAAGCCTATCATAAATGTTGGATCCCTATGCGGAAGTGCTTGCTGCCTCATAAGGATATTAAATATGCTGGATCCCTACGTTGGGGTCCTTTCCATCTCTTAAGGATATTAAGAGAGATGGACTCATATGTGGGACTCCTTGCTGCCTCATAAGGCTATTAAACATGTTAGATCCCTATGCGAGGGTCCTTGTCGCCTCTTAAGGCTATTAAAAATGTTGGAAATCTACGCAAGAGTTCTTACCACCTCATAAGACTATTAAACATATTATATTCTTACGTGGGTGCCATTACTACCTCTTAAGGATATTAAACATTATAGGTCCATATGTGGGATTCCATGCCTCCTCTTAAGGCTATTAAACATGTAGGATCCCTACGCGGGAGTTGATGACAATTGTTATAAGGTGATTTTTTTTACGAGCGAATTCAGATGAAATCGGAAGAACAATGATCAAAAGACATGCCAAATGTGAATAATAGAGTAAAACTGAAAAGACTGGAAGAATTGGGACTCAGAAGAGTTCAGAAGAAAAAGTGAAGAAATTTCGAAGAAACGAGTATTTTTCACCATAACTGTCGTGTGTCTAATAATTCAATCATATTTGGAGTTTCGAAACACGGATTAAGACATAGTTTTTTCACAAAAGAAATCTAAAAAGGAGACCTTTCAACAGCTAGAATTATCACATTTATGATGCATTTATCGCAGCACGATGAGGCTTGCATCGCGGCGCGATTGTTGGCTGAAGATTTTGATAATATTATTAGAAGCCAAGTGAATTGAACGTTTCGATCGAAATAAAACAAAGCGTCATGTTTCGAAATAGCAGAAGCAGTGTTTCGAATAAGCATATCAAAGTTTGGAGCTTCGAGTGGCAATTATGGGAACATATCTAAAGAAGTCTCGAAACGACAACAAGGCTGTGTCTGAGAAGTGCGTTCGAAGCGGAGAAGTACCAAAACATTTGAAATTCAAATGCAAGCGGGACATTCGAAGTTTGAAATTTATGTGCTGGAGCATTTGGAGACACGTGGAAACAAGAGAGAGGCATTGTTCTGCATGTTCTGAATGTGGCATAATCTTATAGCAAGACCGTTATGGTCGAATTAGTATAAATAGGAGTCTTAGTATTAGGATTTCGTGTGTCATATCTATTGTACTAAATACTCAGTAAACATTCAAATTACCACATGGCTAGGGAAACGAATGCAAGAGCAATGTACGTATGATAGCACCACATGTTTATGATTTAATGAAAACCTTTTATCATTTCCAGCACTTTCCTTTATCTTTCTGCCAAATACCATTTACAAGTTTTCTCATTTAAAGTCTTTTTATTCGAAATCTTTTCATTGAAGCCTTACATTTTAATGCTTTCTTTACATTTCAAACACTTTACATTTCAGAAAACTGTCATACTTTTCATGCCTTTATCTTCAAGTTTTATCCTTCGAACGCCTATTTTTACTTAAAGGCATTTTACAGATTTCTTGCATTAAACGCTTTCTTCATATTTCGAATCTTTTACGTTCCAGAGCATCTTTTACATTAACTGTTTTTATAATTCGATGCCATTTACTTGCCTTTTATGCAATTTTACATGTCTTTACAATTAACATTTATTCATGCAAGTTAGTTTCACGCACATACATTTTGATCACACCTTTAGATCTGTAAGGGAGAAATCGAAATAAGTCAAACACCTACACAACACTCAAATACCAACCATGAATATCTGTTCGATCATGAGAGTTACCCTAATGACCAAGGAATCCTAGGATCAATCTAGTCGATCCTGTGAGTTACCAGAGAAATTGAATAACAGTCAGTAAGTTTATTCGATAGTTTGGAAGACTAGCGGTTGTTTACCAGAAATCACTGGAAACAAATTGGCACACCCGGTGGGACCAATAATTAGACATTAGAAATAAAGATTGTTGAGACATAACCATTATAAAAACGTTGGGACATAAGAAGTTTGCTGTTTTATGAACCTAAGAAGTGGTAAGATAACCAACAGCAACTAAACCTTATCCAGAAGAAAACGTTTGAACAAGATGTCTAGTTCTGACAATCAACAAGGGGAACAAAATGCCCCACATACAACAGGCACTAATGTGTCCACTTCGATGGGAACATCTAATGTGATCCCTTCGAATGCACAGTCTGTTGCATCTTCAACCAGTAATATAGCCACCAATGGAGTAAGTGGCATATCAACTAATAGTTCGATCTTAGGAAATACTGGAACCGTTGGTTATCCTGGGGGATTTGTTCCACCATCAGGGACACAATCCCATTTCGCCACTCCACTAACTAGACCACCCAGTTTCGATGGTAATAGGACCAGAAATTCCTCTTATGGAATGCCAACATCTTTTATGGCAGGTTTACACAATTCCACATCGAACTCATCGCCACAATTAGGGTCTGGGTCTGGGGCGAATCAGTTTATGACAAATAACCAAGGGTCAGTGGGTTATAGCACAATGCCTATTTTAACCACAGAAAACCAGTTGGCTTTTAGGAAATTGATGGATGACAGTAACCATAATATGATAGGGGTGTTAGCACAAACTATGCAGGAAATATTTGCCCCAATAGTACAAAATGTGACTGTGACAAACAGGGAAAACGCTGACAACATGAGTCGAATAGCAGATTTCTTTGCTCCCCCAGAAAGGCGTAGACAGAATCAGGCGGGATTTCGAGCAAACATGCCTGTTATGGAACAAGTTGTTAACGACCCAATTTATAGACCACCTAGAGAAGAAGTTAACTTGGGGGCAAGGGCACCAAGGTTAGAAGCCCCAATAATCCCAGGTCCACAAAGAGAAATTATGGAACCAGGGGCAAGGGTTGAACGGCTAGAAGCCCCAGAGTTTCGAGAAGAACAACCTAGGGGGTTGTCATGGTGGGTCGAAATCAAGATGGTGATGCAGTCGTTCATAGAATTCGAAACGATAACATCTTGGCAGAAAACAATCTAACCACCATGATAGAGAGAGTCATGGCCCAGAATGGCCTCAACACAGGAATGAGAAGGCCAAATTATGCTTCTCCTATATTAGATTGCATAATGCATACTGATTTACCAAGGGGATATAAAGTCCCTAAATTTACAAAGTTCGCTGGGGACATCAATGAGTCAACAGTCGAACACATAACCAGATATCT